AAATGACATATTGCGCAGATAGTCGCTTTACGAAGGTAAATTTCGATGGAGGGTTGGCTGTAGGGTTCTAAAATTGTTGTTCAGTGTTTAGTTGGTGGTATGTCAGCCTGCGCTGCTGTGTCTACTTTTTTTTTCAGATACTAGTTGTAAAGCACATACAGCTTGAGGTAGAACATGGATATGACCTGTTATCAGAGCAATGACTTGTATCATCATGGTTCAGTTTGAGCTTCTGTAACCATGAAACCTGCTAGCCAAACTGACTTGCATCGTTGCGACATTCTACAAGAAAAAAATAGTCTACCCAAGACGCATTTCTCATCCCATTGGTCGTCGTCATTCAAGACTGGCTTTGTGGTTATCTTTACAGTGGTATTTTAACCTTGTCAAAACTAGTTTTGCTCTCAACATTATTTTATTTAGATCAACAAATCTCCTGTGGTCATCTGATTAATGTGGGTGGTTAGTGGGCGTCACCGGTATTTCCTTCTTCTTTTCGTTAGTCTCCCGTTTGTTGCGTTTACCAGACATTCTTGCTTTTCCTCAACACTAATTGACCGTTATTGTGTTGACTCGCCTCTCTTTACTCAAACTGGAACTCGAAAAGATTCGGTTGTAGTTTACAGGGCGTTTTCACAATTCGGGATAGATTTTGTGAAGAAACCGATTAAATTAAAACACAAAATTTAAAAGAAATGGAAGAAGCAGACTATTGTATTGGAACTTATTGTATTAGAAATTAGAGCTTGAATGCTAAAGAAACCCGTAGAAGACATGAGGTGGGGTGTTCAATGTGAAGGGTACATTATGGCACCCTGAGCGTTTGTCATTTTATCAGCTGGACATTTGCCATTATGGCTTAGCGCCGTTCGAGGGCTGAGTCAACACATCGCCCCAAACAAATTTAGAGAGGTGAGCAAATTGCTGGCCAAACTACAGGAAAGTGCTGTGTCAGCAAGTGTTTGTGAACAGTAATAAGCCATTACGTCCCCAAACTTGACCAGCCATGATTTGAGGAAATTACCACAATCTGATGGAGCCGTTTCCCGTCAACGTGGTATGCTGGCGTTTGAGAATTTCATCAACGTATGAGTCATGGCTCATGCCACTTGACAACGTTGTGTTTACCTGCTGTGGATTAACATAATACCTGCTACTGATTACTATAATGTATGCTCAACATAATGTATGTGCTGCTTCTGATTAACATAATACACGTGCTGCTGCTGATCAGCATAATGCAATCAGCTGATTAATATAATACATCCTGTCGATAAACATAATACATCCTGCTGATTGATATAATACGTCCTGCGGATCAACATAATACATGCTGCTGATTAATATAATATGTGCTTCTTATTAACATGATACATGGTTTTTTTAAAACAAAACTTGCTATTAACATAATGTTTGTTTTTGTCAAAATATTTTTCCGACAAAGCTTTCATTAACGTCAGTTGCTGCTGCTGCTGTTACTGCTCCGGCTACAACTACTCTTTAGTTTTAGTAAGAGTTTTACGGCACTTACAACTCAATAGGTCATATACTTGTAAGTGCCGAAAATTAATGGTGTTACAAGAGAGTAACAAACACAAAACAGAAGGAGGGGAGATAAGGATGACTGGTGTTGGACAGAAAAGAAGGAGCAAACCACACCAGAGCACTCGCCAACCACGCACTACTACTACTACTCTAATGTTCCTCTGGAGTAGAGCTAGTTGTTGTCGCTCCTAGTAATTAATCAACCATATGGCGCATAGGACGTTACTGAACAAATGGGCTTAACTGTCTAGTCATTTGCTGGAGGTAACGTGAGATGTATTTTTGAAGAGCTTGGTGAAGTGGCAAAAAGAGTCCAACACTAGCAATAATTCATTTTTGTGTGCTTGGTGTTCTGTGTTTAGAATTTGATATTTTATTAAAAACAAAAACGATAATTAAAACAAAACTTAGAACTTGTTCTCTCTTCCTCGACCCCGGCCCCTGTTTTAATCTCCTTACAGACAGGAAAATGGATGGCAAAAATAGGTCAACCAAAACAGACGAAAAATAGATGTGGTGCATCATGATGAAATCAGGCGCTCGTCCAAATAATGGCATCGAAAACAAAACCATTTTTTCCCGCTCTTTGGGCAATTTGCATCGATTTTTTTATGTCCATAGAAAAAACACACTTTTGTGTGGATTGCTACTGAAAACTGTTGATGAAAAACACACAAAAATGTACATTTGCAGTTTCCGAGGACACTCAAGCTTTGGAAAACACCACATTTTGGTGACTATTTTCTTACTAATTTAACCTTTGAAAACAGGTGACCCCACCTCCTACAATCTAGATTAATATGTCGACTTCTATTCCAAATATAAGGGAATTTTTAAATCAAAAGGAAGACAAACAAACAAAATGGTAATACCAACTCCATATGCCCCAAAGATGTGACGAGCGCCTGATTCTACCATGTTGTGACACATGCAGACCATGGCGTATGACGTCACAGTTTGCTGTATGGGTATAGGTGAAGACCAACTTTACAACAGCGGCAGATGTGATTTTCACCAACCGATACTGTTCATTAACTCTTCAAGTTTGCTTGTCCACTCATTTCTTTATACTACTTTCCTTTTACAGAACTCATATATGAATTTGGTGAAGGAATATATCGCTGTACTCCCTTTGAAATGTACTTGTTTTTTTTAGCTTCATTTGTCTCTATCGAACTTACGTGCATTGTAGTTATCGATCGTTTTGTGACAAACTGAAAACATTATATTCTTATCCGAAGATTCTGTTTTTTGTCGTGTATTTGTCCCTTGATCTGTGACCCTCCAGGAGGTCTGACTTGATTTCCGACGTTGAATATTTATTGCAAGTATTGTCGTGTCAAGGTCACGACTCAAGGTCAAATTCAAAATACATGATCGTTTACTCTACAGCAGTGGCCGGGTGGGGGGGGGGGGGGGGGGGGGGGGGGGTAGTGAGAGAACAGAGGGAAGACTTTACAGTCTACAGCTTCTATGAAATCACAGACTGAGTCACTAAGGTTTCAATGTTGAGACATTCGTTTTTTGAAACCCTACAACATCACACCATACAACGATCAGCGCGCTCATAATATGACCTGTATGTGTGCAGGTGGTGAAACACCAAACCAATGGGCCAGATCTGGACAACAAATCTGTATCTTATCTTATCTTATCTTATCTTTTCTTACCTTATTTTATGCGGTTGCAAGCACCGTAAAACGCTCACCAAAACAAAACAATACAACGATCAGTGAAGCAGCCAAAGCCCACAGAACGTGTGTGTACTGAAGGTTGACAGAAGCTGACAAGTTCCCGTTACAGGCCCTTACTGTAGACACACAGATGATTCCCCAATCCGCAACCCCCACCCCACTCCATATCCCCGCCTCGGGTGTTCTCGTGGTCAAGAGGTTAAGGTGTTCGCCTCTCATTCAATAGGTCCCACGTTCGAATCCGAATGGGGACAGAACATTTTCTTCTCTAAAATTGTCATCTTTCCTGCCCTCTAACAATGTTCTGTTGTCTGCTTTCGCCTCCACTTTCTGCCCCCAAGCCTTCACCTCCTTTGCCCCCTCCTCTGGGCTCCTGACTCTTTCTGCAGCCTTTCTACTGCTACTCCTTGGCTCCTCCTTACTGCCGTCTTTCAGCCGCACCCCTGATCTTATGGGAGGTAAGATCTAAAACCTGGCCTTCTCGATAAGGGCGAAAAATCTCAGAGGTCCCGTGTGCAAGTTGTGCACGTGAAAGATCTCTTGGTGGTCCAGAATCGATAAGAGTAGGCTTCGGCCGCCACCCAGTCAAAATTCCAAATTCCCTAGCAACTGAAAGTGGTTAATGTGTCCCAAGCGCTCATACGACCTTATGCAGTAGCGAGCGCCGTAACACACCCATTAAACCAAAGTATCTCCCCTATCAACAGAGAAAACCTCGACATAAAAAGTCAGCGATAGCAAACAGGAATACAAACAAGCAAGGAAAACAAAATACAGATTGCCAATTCACACCCACAACGATATAATTATGATTTTTCTGTGCCTGTATCTACCTCTCTGTCTGTCTGTCTGTCTGTCTGTCTGTCTGTCTGTCTGTCTGTCTGTCTGTCT